TTATTTCTGATGGCTGTGCTTTCTAATTTCATTAATTTGCCTTTTATTCAGGCAAATAATCATCACTTTTAATTTCCTCTCTGCAATTTTGAACGCCCTTCCATTACATGGGGAAAGTCCCATATTAGTCCCATTTTTCACCTAGATTTTTCTAATGATTGCAGGGCCCTCAGGCCCAGAGAGAACAATATTAATACTGATTAGGTTTACATGGATAAGGAAGACATGTATTAGTATTATTAATGTTATTAATATGTATGAGATGTTTGTTAGGCCCCCACTCTAAACATACAATTTAAACACCAATTTCTTACTAAGATTTCATTCATGCAATATTTCTTTTCAGAAGTTGAAATCATATTAAATACTCATTTCTCATACAATATAAATATTATATTTTAACAATGGAGGCAGCCTTACAAAAGGTGGGGGATTAAAAAATAGCCATCAATTCAACTTGCCATTGTTCGGGGCTTAATAAAAACAAGATTTAGCTGTGGTGATCTCACTGATCTGAAGTTTGTATGATCTCTCAATAACATGTTTACGAATCCCTTAGCATTGTGAGGTTGCCCGCTTTGCACGTCTTGCCCTTTTCACCCCACTTGTTCACTATCATCTAGAAAATCATTGTATCATTTTCCGCCCCTTTTCTCTTTCTTCAGACAAATGCAGCATGGTTTTCCAATCAAGAGAGAGAAAAAGCCTTGGCAAAAAAACCAAGGTTCTACTTTGCACCGGATAACAACTACTGGGCAAAGCACAAAGTGGTATACAATATTAATGATGGAATATCCTGTCATGGTCGTATTATGTCTGTTGTGAATAAATTTTGTGCAGTACATGTAATCTGAATCATCCATTCATGTTTGCCCCACATAAATGTAGTACATCAATTGAAATCAGTATCAGATTCATATTGCTACAGTGTATGCTACCAGTTTGGGTTTTCCTTCTAAACAAAATATCTTCATCAGGGAATTCATTTCATGTCATGGCGAATGATGTATGAATACTTTGTTTAATGTTTTCCTATCCTTTTTCCTTTTCTTTTATCTCATTGTCAAATCGTTTTTTCCCCCTGCAAATGCAGGATTAAAACATTTCCCTACTTTAATAATAACATATGTTTCTTCAAATTCAATTTGCATGGAAATTTCCTCTAGTCTTAATTCTTTCCTGTGACTGATTAAAAAACATTCCATGGAAGAGTATTTATTTGGATCCTAGCCATTAATTTCCACTTGTTTCCTCTCCCTCATCTGATATCCATGCCTTTATTAATTCAATACCACTGTGTAGATAATATCTCATATCTGATTTCCAGTGTGTAAAGCGATCCAATGAAGCCATGATCTTCAGTTGAAGCAGACTGTTGCCTTGCATTAGGAGTGTTTTCATTAGCCCAGGATTAGCCCACTGATACTGGGCTCAGTCATTGGCCCAATACAAGGTTAGCCAGGCTTAGCCCACTATAAAACACACGCTGTGTTCAGAGTTTTAGACAATTGAAATCCAGAGTATAGCTACATGTACAGTATACAACTCTCATTACAAGTAATTGAAGTGTTGTGGTCTGAACGTCATATAAAGTATTGACAGTTTGACACCAAACTATCAAACACCTGTGGGGCATCGTATCGGAGGGAAACTCAATAAAGAATCAGCATCCGATTCCAGTTGAAATATTGTATCATTCAAAAAGTGTATTACTGCAATGGGAAAGCTTGATCTTGAATTAGCATTGTCACCACCTACAGCTGTAGCCTACTAATTTGCAGTGAAGAGGGAATTCTTGTGCCATTTTCTTTCATTCAATTTATGACTGAACTTGGGAAACTAGCTGAAGAAAAATTTATTATCTGAAGTCCTCTTGGTCTAATTCATAAAAACGCCCACTGTTGGGCAATATAGCATGGTCATTCACATGGAAGACACCCTAATTGAACTTGTGGAAACCTTGCTTTAATTATTATTGGTTGCCAATAAGGCATATAATTGCATTTAAGATACTAAATTGCTTGTTTACAAAAGCATCAAAGGGTCAAGCCCTAAATTATTTGTCTAATTTAATATCTTTTTAAATCACATCCATGTATGCACATACATGTTATTTAGAGATTGCACAGGACAAGCTGCTTCCCTATTAAAAGCTACCTCACACAAACAATAAAGTAACTCTAGTAGAGATAGCTCTTTCAGTCCGGCCACTCCAAAGCTTTAGAATAACCAAAAACTAGACATAAGAAAAGCCTCATCTTTTGCTGTCTTCCAAGTTTTGTTGAAGGCACACTTGTTTTCATGAGCTTTTGAATAGTTTTTATTATTTGTCTGTAAAGTAGCACTGTTGGGAGTTTTGTTTGCATCACAGTGCAGGAAAGAATATTTAAATAGTAGCTGCGCTATATAAATTGATATTTTATTAACATTATTCAACCAGCATGCTCTGGTGTACAGGTACTTTCTAAAAAAAAATCAATTCCTAGTATAAAAGAAAGGTTGTCTTTAAATTAACATCATGGAATAGTGCTCGGGGGGGGGGGGGGGTTAACAAATTTATTAGGAAAAGCTGATTGATGCAATAGCTTTAGGCTAGAGCTTGCATGGGCTAATGATGAAGCGCCTAATGCAGTGCAAATTTGCGTCAGTGCCATTTTGATTGATCGCAATTGCTCTAACCCTGGCATCTGTATGCACACTTTCACTTACTGTACATGTAGCCAGATCAATTTAGAAGGCATTGAAGTAGATCATCCCTGCTAGCTACATGTATACAATGTATGTAGGTTGGTAATTAATAGAACACTTTTTGTTCATAGCATATTAAGGCTAAAAGATTCAATAGGCAAAGTGTTTTTATCAACCAAACGCTTTAATGAATTTAATGGGAATAGCAAATGTTGTGAATCAAGTATTTAAAGGGCACTAAAAAAAAAAAAAATTAAAAAAAAAATTATAAGTGTTTTTGGTAAAGTGTTTTCTTTCTTTAAGTTTTCCAATGCCTGCATCTACATTTCATAGATTCATCAAGTCCTGTCTACAACAATCCCCCATCCTCTCCTCACTGTGTATTTTTCCCAAAGGAACCTCTCAGAAAGTTTTGAAATATTACAAGGAAATTAAGCACAGCCATTAAAATCCCATAAACGGTTTCCTGCATGGTTGTCCAAAAACAACAACACACTTATGAAAATGTTGTTTCCAGGTTTCCCAGGGTATATAACACTTGGCTCATTTACACTACAAAAAGACCATTTTATAAACCTTTGTTGTTGTTATTGTTGTTTTGTTTGTTTTTGTTGAGGGGGGGGGGGGGGTACAATGTAACTACAATTTACACTACTGGAAAAACCTGTATAACCAGGGGGGTGTTTCACAAAGATCCTAAGTAGAACTTAATTCTAAGTTGGACTTAAAATTTATGGAGGGCCATTTGTAGTCTTAAAATGAAATATATTCATCAGCAGATATTTCAGACTTTACATAAATTCCACATCAAGAACATGTAATCTCCTTGATAAAAGAAAATATGAATGATTTGAATCAACATTTAAAGCCTTTAAAAATAACTTTTACAAAATATTTTCAAAGATGCTAACAGCTTTCCATAATTTGTAGTCTAACTAGAGATAAGTTCAACTTACATGTAGGATCTTTGTGAAACACCCCCCAGTAGTGTTTTGAAACGTTTATGTTTTTTGTTCGTGTGAGTACTAGTACGTGTAGGCATGAACAAACTGTCGTTACTGAGTGCTCTGCATGCGATTGTGCATAAAGAAAGAAGAGTCATGTGAGCAGAAACCAGACTAATCCATCAGTGATTTGTGCTTTAACATGTAAACCTGTACATTGTACACTTCAAAAACTAGCCAGAGTTTCAAAAGGCAACACTCCAGAGGTGGCTTTACTAGATTGAAGTATTTTGTCATGTTTACGGGTAGTTGCCTTTGCAACTTTAGACAAAACTCTGGAATGTGGGGAAAACGCAGGGTTTTTGCTTGCGGTGTGAATGCCCCCATCTTCATACCCCCTTGAGAGGAAATGAAAACAGATCTTATACACAGTTCTGAATGCAGTCTTTACCCTACTGACAAGGCTCATTTATAAATGCACCAATGTGAGTAATAATGACCCTCGGGCTTCGCTACGGCTCAACACGACAATAATACGAACCCAAGCGATTCAATTAACATCAGGCTCTAATATTGAGATAATCTTCATGTACATTACATGTACATGTACAGTTGTGCAATGGGAGGTTTGTGTTTGGACCATACAGTACATGTATTTCCCCCATAATTGGACCTGTTGGTAAAAGCCTGCTACATTATTTAATAAGGATGTTCTCTCTTTTATTGAGAAGATATGTTCTTCAACAACATGACAATCCCCATTTTAAACAAAGTACATAAAAAGACATTCTTCATGAATTTAATGAATGGCTGATAGGAAGCCAAAATGTAATTTTTTTTAAATTAAAATATCTATGATATTCTTCGTCAAAAATAGAAAATTATCTAGCAATTTTATTCCATAATGCTATGGCAGTGAATCAGGGCTATGTACACTGTAGCTCTGCTTCAAGGCACTTAGGAGATTGCGGTGTCAGTTTGAGATTCCTAATAACCTAATGTATTGTACATGTACATGCCATTGTATTATTGTCTTTCCAAAGTCTATATTGCAAGAAACATCTTGAAGCACATGACTTCAGAAAGGGGTTCTATGCTGTACAGTGTACATGTACACATGTACACCTGTACATGTACATGTATATTTTGTGAATGAGCATGTAAACGTGTGATCTGTTATTTCAATGAAAGTCCAGTACATCTGCATTTCCACTTTCATGTGCGAATACAGCTTCTACAGGTACCTGTACATGTACAGTATGTACATGTACAATATGTATCTTAAAACAGCTCCATGCAAATGAGGATGGCCCTTGAAATGAATCACAACATTCGCTACGCTAAAGATACAATGTTCAATTTCATTACCTCCATAAGTCCACAGGCTATCAGTCTCCTCATGATAAACAGAAGCATGTCCGGCTCGCTTGCTCAGCCCCTCACTGGCGCCGCTTGAGACGAGGAACGTTTGACCCCACCCCAAGTTGCTGTTGGTCGACAGGCTGCACCCCTCCCCGACGAAGCCTGCTGAACATGAACACTGTTGGACACCCTAGATAATAAAAGGAAGAACAAATCAAAGAATGAAGAGGATATCAGTGTTATATTTGCAGGAACTCTTTCTGGATTCACCACATAAAATAAAGGAGATTACTGGGGGGGGGGGGGGGGGGGGGGTTTCTTGGAGGGGGTATTATTTTACCAGAGCTCTTTATTAGAATTACCTATGTAATCTACATGAGTGTTCCAGAGCTACACAATGTATGTACAATGTACATGTAACTCACTTTACGCTCAAATGTATCGTTTTCCTTTCCCCCATTGAAAGATACATGTACATGTATTGTATACATTTTAATAGAAAAGGAGGGAGAGAAAGAGAGAGAGAGAGATAGAGAGAGAGGGGGAAGATGCATGAGATACATGTAGAGACTAGAGAGAAAGAAAAAATTCTTGGAGATTGCGCCTTCAGTTGCGCAACCCACCACTAGACATAACAATAGCCTCATCTGTTGCTGTCTTCAAAGTTTTGTTGAATACTGCCCTCGTTTTCAAGAGCTTTTGAATAGTTGGTTTTATTGTTTGTCTGTAAAGTAGCACTCTCACTCTCAGGAGATTTGTTTTCATCACAGTGCAGTAGAGTATATTATAAAGTACATGTACATGTAGCTGAGCTATTTAAATTGATCTAATTATTATCACTATCAAAAAATGAGAGCAACAAGAAAGATAGAAAGAGTATGAGAGGAATTGAAGACCATAAAGAATGCACAAAGGAATCTTTTGAATGTATCTTGCACTTGTATATTTCTTCTTTGTTTTGGGTTTTTTTTTTTTAATGACATGTAAAAGTTTGGTGGCTGTAAATGATTTTAATCCAACATTATATCACTTGCACTGATCATGCAATCATGTGTGATCTCATGCTGTAGTTCTTGGCATACCAAGGTGTCTCATAACATAACTACTGGCGATTGATAACATCATCTTTTGTTCCGAGATGTCTCATTATGACACGTCTGCAATACATGTATGTAAACACTGCAGCCAAATGTATTGTTGTCGAAACATCGATGATAATACAGGATGAAATATCAATTCTCTTTTGACCCTTTGCTAACCCACGACAAGATGATCTGGTAATATGTTTACATAAACGCAAAGGTTATCTTCTGTAACTGCTCAACCTCCACCAAATGTACACATGTACAGTACAAGTCTACATTTGGTGCATGTAAAGACATTGGCTTATTACAAAATGTGCAGTACCTGTACATGTAAATGTATTTATAAATCCAGATGCTGATCATTATTATTGTATTCACTGTACACCTCTCTTTCTCTCGGCCTCTCTCTCTCTCTCTCTCTCTCTCTCTCTCACTCTCTTTCTCTCCTCGTCACAATCTTTTCTCTTTTTTTTTGCCCATCTTATGATCTACCCACTCAATGCACATGAATGGAGCTAATCATCTTCTCCCGAACTCAAACCAATACCTACCACAGGTACAAGGACATTATCAATAGGCCATAGATGTCCATTGATCTGTTTCAATCAATCTGTTGTGAAACCAGTCTGTTTTGAAACAGATCCCGACTGTCAATACATGTACACTATACTGTAGCTTACATTGTACATGTACGGTACATCAAAGGTCGTCTTGAGCCATATGACATAACAACAATGAAAATTAAAATATCTCAAAGAACAAAGATAGGTATTTTTGTGACTACAGGAATAAAAACTGCAAATATATGCATACTGTACAGTTGTAAATTACAATACCTGCCATGTCATTTTTTATAATCAGCTGACTGTATTGATCAATGCTTCTGTGCATCGTTTTTCTTCAAATATCATTAGTATACAAATAATACGCAGAATTACCTGCACAAGGCACCTTTGGAACAGTCCAACATGCCCAAGGCGATAGCCGAGGGTGTTTGGACTGTTTTGAAGGTACCAAGTGTAGGTAACTTAATTTTACTAGTGCCCAAACAAAATGGTGTGTGCTATTTGTTTTAAAAGATGATGTTTTATGTGTTTGAATATAAAATGATGCTTTATTATAAACATGATTTTACTAATGATCGGTCATTAAAAAAGCATTTACTACATGTACATGTAAATGACCAAATATAGTAAAATTATGTGTTAGACAAAATAAATGCCTAGTCACGTGAACGCTCACAACCAATCATTTGTTAGGATCCGCTTCATCATATTTTATTTAAAATACAATATTATTTGATGAACTTTAAAGAGAAGGTTGAGTTCTGGGAAGAGGTGAAAAATAAATTGTGAGCGTTATCATTCTTATTATGCAAGTGTGGAAGAACATCAGATAAGACATGTTCCCTGAAAACTTGAAAAGCAAGGCTCTTCAAATGCCTTCATATTCTAAATATGTCATGTACATGTACATCGTAAAACTCTGGGGGGGGGGGGGTAAGTTTTTTACGCCACGTGTTCGTGTAGTCCCATATACATCTTTCTGTGTACAGTGTTTGTAACTTTACCAAGACTTGGCCAATTTCTTATCATTTTGATGATTCCAGAACCTTGCAATACACACAAATTCTTATATGCTACACTGTAGATGATCAACCTTTTCTGGTCGACTCCACACCGTTTCTTTCACGATGCAATCGCACGACCAGAACTCAACTTCATCTTTAAACTAGTGCACTCATCTGCAACACCATAAATCTTTGTATAATCACCACCATTTTATTTGCTCTCAGCAGACTGTATACTGTGTGACTTCCAAGGCTTGACGCACACTCAGGCCCTGTTGCTAAGCGCTGAGCATTGTTTGTCAAAGTGTCATTATCACGCAAGATCCTGTGTTTACAGGTAGACTCTCCAAGGTATCAGGTTTTATCATGAAACTCAGACTCTTTTCAAAGTACACATTTTCCAGAAAACAACAAATCTGTCGGAATGATTACTCTATTTTACATGTACCGTACAGGCACAGTACATGTACTTTACATGTAAATCAGTGTTGTTAACTTTTGTTTTGGTAATTTGTTTGTTTTGTTTTGATTTTTGTTTACAGAAGATCCTTGTATTGATTTCCTAATGTAAAAGTAAGATTTTCAATGTCATTTTTTCCAGTTTACAAAAACTAGAGAAAGGGTCGACAAGCATAAAGGTATACCAGTATGCATTTTCCAGCTTTTCAGAGCATACATGTACATGTAGGCCTACTGCTCACTTTTACATTACTGCATCAGATAATTTTTTTACCCTGTCGTGAAGAGTCACAAGGCTCCTTCCAATATGCTGCGGTAAAAAGCAGCATTTTTTTATTGTGTTCTCTCTATGAATAGCAAGTGAAGATTAGAAAAATCTAGGTACAGCAGCAGGGCACAATAAAGGTCCAACAATCTACTTTTAATGTAAAGGTGTATACAACTTTGATCCACAAATATGGAGCCCCCCATGTTTACCGCAGAACATGAACAAGTCTTGAAGGTACTACCGGTATGTCACATTTGCAGGCCAACAAAATGAAAAGATTGAAATCCACTGGCATTTGAAAGATAGTAACTACATGTAATACTAATTTAGAAACTTCCCTCAAAACAAAAGAGCTGGAAAATGTCTTTTTGTGTGGGGGGGGGGGGGGGGGGGGGGGGGAAGACCGCTACTTGTAGAATCGACTTTAGTTTTGGCCATTACAAGAAGTGGGTTTAATGTGGACAAATGCTCATGTACCCTTTAGAGCTTATTTTGTGTACGGTATGTTTTATCCAAAGATAAAAAGAAGCCAGTCAGTCACTCAATAGTGTCTGACAGTGAAGTCTAGCAAGTAAACAGGTTTCCTTGCATAATTTGAATACTAGGACACTGCCCACGTTTAAATTTCACAGATAGGATGTGCATGAACATGACATATTCATAATTCCTGAAAATTTCTACAGAATTTGTTGTTGACTGCAAATGGGACTGTATCCTTGACTACGACACCTGTGCAAATACTGAGCTAAATACAACATGTACTGTACTCAAAGTTTACTTAACAATTTGAGCCACTAACATGAATTTTTAAAAAATGTTCACTATATGGAATATTTATTTCATAACTGGGTGTCATGGAAACAAACATACACAATGGCCATATTCTGGTATTAAAGCAGCCCCTAAAAAAATTAACAAACAGCCACATGCTACCTGTACATGTAGAGTAAATTATGACAGCTCTTTTTTTATTCCTTTTTTTACTGCACAGTACAGACAAGATTCTTTCACATTGATTTTTGACATATACATGTATTGTATGACCTTCTTTCACCCAAAATCTAATCAATTTGTCTCCCTAATTAAAGGTGATGCAAGCTAATACCAGGATTGAAGTTCATGGCTCAAATCTGGGCTAAAACCCCCCTAAGATTTCAGGGATATTGACCTTTACTACACTGACCTTTCATTAACATGTACAGTATTTACCCCCCCCCCCCCCCAAAAAAAAAAAAAAAAAAAAAAAAAATGATTATTGAAATAGTGGTGCTCTGCATGTAAACCACCTCTTTTCTCTTGCCAGCAGCACTTCCACATAATTATGATCACTGGCCAGAAACTCATTTGTTTGACAACAGACAAGTGTTTGCATACAGAGAGAGGGAGGGGGAACTGTTGAATAAGAGACTGGTAGCCAGTTGTACACGTACTGTACGTCATGAACGAATTGTATGCAAAGTTTGCAGTGGTTTGAATGAGGTGGTTCTGATTGCTCAAACAAACAATCTTTCTGTTCAATAACATGAGATTGAAAGCCTGTTCACACTAGTCGAACAGCGTATAAAGAAATGGTGTATAGAGATTTAAATAAGAAACTCAATGTAGATCTGTATGTACTGTACATGTATGTACAGTTTACCCAGATGCTGTGCGTCCCGACAGGTGGTACAGTTGTATAATCGGACAGTTGATTTAATTTGTGATTTGAAGAAGTTTACATGAAACATTTTTAAAAATCTGTTAAGACTTTTTTTCTAGACAATATTATAAAAACAAAACTTACTGATACACGTACAGTAGTTAGTGCTTCATTTGATGCATACTTTTCTATAAGCCTCCACCAGACACACAGCCCCCCCCCCCCCCCCCCCCCCATCCCATAAAACTAAAGCATTTCATAGCCTACAATGCATAGGGACACTGATTTTCCGCGATCACGGAAAACGGACGGAATTCACGGAATTGACCATTTGAAACGGAAAATGCAATTTCGAACGGAAAATCGCAGAAAACCCCTTTTACCTCAAAACTTTTCATTTTTCAAGAAGAAAATCGTAAAACTTACACTATTTTTGTGACTCGTTATGCAGTGAAAAAATATTGGGCCTCAAATCATGGTTAATAATTCCGAATATTTAGCGATATTCGTCAGATTCTAATAGGAGACCGGGCGCTGCCATTTTGTTTCGCTGGACCAATAGAGATCGTGACACAAAACGCGGTACAAATAGCAGCGAAACGATCCTATTATGCCAGCTAGGCCCCTAGTATTACGTAGACGTAATACTAGGCACACACACGCCAGCAGCGGGCGCTACGTGCGGCGAGGATGTACACACGCTGTTGTACAGTTCGAAAAAGGGGCTGGCATGTGCGCCTAAAATCGATCGATCGCGGACATGACAGCCAAGACTGAAATGTTTTCGTCGACGTCGGTACTCATACTTTCCGTCAGGAATATGTCGTGTTCTGACACATTCTGCTGACTTTAGTCTGCTTGTCTAAGTTCGAATTTGAAGTTGGTAAATCTTAACATTTGACAATTTTTCGTAGGTCTAGCCTAGACCCTAGGGGTCTATATTTTCACTAGTATTTTGCATCAAGTTTATCCAGTCCCGTCCGTATGTTTTTGAGTGGTTATCAGTGGCTTGTCTAAGGTGGCGGCTTCAATAGAACATTTGTACCCTACAAGTTCATGTTTTAATGAAAATCTTATGTAAACAGAATTTTAGTTTTTTCATGTGTACAAAGTCTATGGCAAAACGGAATTTCCGTTTTTCAGCCCATCTGAAACGGAATTCCAGATTTTCTGAAACGGAAAAGGCCATTTTTTGAAACGGAAAATCAGTGTCCCTAAATGCATACTGTAAATACCTTTACATGTTCCCTTTAATAGAAACCTTTGTGGTTTTCCAAAGGGCCAAAGTGAAAACAATGGCCTATACAACACAAATTGTTGTATTGAACCAATTAAAACAAAATGTTTTCACAGAGCCAATCTAGAGAGGCCTTTTCACGTACATGTACAATGTACATTACGTGTTTGTAGCTGACAATGACTTTGGAGGTCTTGAGGATTAAGACTATCGACTTGCCAAGATCAAATTCTGAATCATCACTCAATATCACAAGTGGTTTGTCTGCGCCGGCCGTGGCGACAAGTCTCCATTAACCCAATGTAACTCTATACACTGCATCATGGCACCGTTCACATTACGCATAATAATGCAGATGTTGATACGTCATACATGTACCTGTAGATGTTCAGTGTGAACAATCGGTAAACATGTACTGTATGTACATTGTATCTCTGTATATCTCCATATTCTATGTACACGTATAAATTCATGAAGCTCCTGGCAGTAATACAATGAACGCAGAGAGGTTCAAGTTTCATGATCACTAGATTAATAATGCTCACTTCCTCACTTTAAAGGATTTTATCATCACTCAATATAATTTATATGTTAAAAGAACATGTACAATGTACATGTATGTGTACTGAACATCTACACGTACATGTACATATTCAAGCACCCCCCCCCCCCCCCCTCCCCTCCTCGAGGATTTAAGGTATTTAAATCTGAGTCAGAAATACAATGTAGACAAACATGATAGGCACCATTAAAACTAAACATACACTTGAACCAAGAGTTGAGCTTCCCTTTTACAAATTCATAACTTCCTTGACACAAATTTTGTACCTTGACTTTTTTAAGTTTCGATGTAAACAAGGTCCATGTACTTTACATTGTAGGTTGGCCTCCTACTTTTTGAAACAGACATTGTGGATCATGCACTTTCCCCCTGTTTTCCTGTTTTGCAAATCTTACAAGTGAACAAGGCTACTGGAACAAGTACAAGTTTATGTACTGTACATTGGATTTTAGTCTGTATACATTATGTGTTGCTATGTCGGGAATCATTGAGCAAGTGTGTGCAGACAATTTGAATATAATTGTAATAGTAAACCAGTCTATCATCACGGGTGTAAACAGGGCTGTTACTGCTCTGAGAGGAGCAGACACAGTGCACTTCCCTTCCTTGCACTTTGCCTCTATGCTTTCCTCCGTATGCTGCTTGCTATAAATAAATGACTCCCTAACAGAGCAAGAGTGTTCCATAGGACTGATCATAGCTACATGTACATGTACATGTAGATCATGTTTAAAGGTATTACAAAGTTTTGGTATGGGTCATGAATTTGGTTCAAATAAAAATATTGGAAGCATATGCATTCCTACAATATTCATTGATCGTTTTCGCGGTTGAAATCGATTCTGAAGTTATGAAATTATAAATAATAAATTCTTTATGTTGCATAGCACCCTCTAAAGGTCAAGATATTAATTTAGCTTTGAAACAATGTTTCTTGCCTAAAATCAACCGATTAGATATTCCCGTTTGGAAATTATATATCACAACTACATATTCTGAGATTTTCATGGTCGCAGCTACCATTGTACGGCCATAGGCGCTATTTGATATTTATCAAAATTTACTGGGAGCACCGGTAAATTTTTATATTCAATTTTTCTCGAAAAAAGAAGTGTTTTAGGGGCTAATTTTCTTAGTGCTTATAAAACATCCACAGGGGCATCCAAATATATAGAAATTGTAAAGATTCACTATCCACCCAATTTTCAAAATTTCCCAAAACTTTGTATTACCTTTAATAGCTTTGATGAACTGTACATGTATGTATGCACCTTCTTGGCAGATTATCAACTTGCAATAAGAATGATATTACATTCTATCTTGTACAGGCTGATCTTGTATCATGTACATGTACTGTACATCACGATTGTGGTTATAAATGGTCATTGGTGACATTATGCCAAAAACTATTATTTTATTCTTGTTTGTACTGTACGTCTGTACAGTATGCGTACAGGTAGGCAAATTAAGAAACTAATAAACCTAATATGAATCATCCACAATATGTGTTTCAATTTTTCTGGCCTCCATGTACATGTACATGTAAAATTGCCTATTCCTTTAAAATCATTTTCAGTCAGAGCTGCTCTCAACCTCTTGCAGCTGTCCCATTGGTAACATGAACTGTACATTGTACCCAAAATTATTAAAGGGATCCGGTAACTTTGTCTCGGATTCTGAAACAAAATTCTGGATTTAGCTCATGATGCAATGATAATTATAAACCTTTAGGTCAGTCAGGAACCCAATGGCCCGTATTCTGAAGTCGTGTCTAACTCCTGTTTAACTAAACAGTTGTCTAAGTCCCGTCTAACTTTAGACACGAAGTCGTGTCTAACTTTTTTGGTATTCTGAAGTCGTGTTTAAACAAAGTTAAACACGAAGTCCTGTCTAAGTCCTGTTTAACTTTAGACAACTGCGAGGGGTTGTTTAAGTCCTGTTTAAGGGCGCGATTCTGCTGCTTTTCAACGCCGACGGTACACTGTACTTGCTGACCCCGAACTTGCGGGGGAGAACGATGGTACGTGCATTCTCCAAAATTTCAAATACGTTTTGCAGGATTTTTTCTCGTGTAGCCTAATTTTTTTTCTCGATAATATTAACTATTCTTATCTACTGGTGACATCTTGGAAATTCCATAATCTATAGTAAACTAACCATTCTGTTGGAGAAGTTTCTTTTGTGGTTCTTCCGAGCACTGAGGCACCGATGAGTAGTGTGTTTGTCAATCTCATGCAGTACGTGTACTACGTACGTACGTACACAAAGTACATGCAGTCTAGTCATTACGTCACGATCACATCACCATGGTACCAGCACGCGCACAGCTAGCTGTGCGCGTTAATTTATTTATCCGGTGCGCGCACGCATGCGCATTGGGTCTTTCGTCACAATTAACGCCTACTGGGCATGCCCAGAAGTCGTGACTAAGAGTTAAACACGACTTGCGCAGAACTTAAACAGTTGTTTAGTTAAACACCACTTAGACAGGACTTAAACAGTTGTTTAGTTAGACGAGACTTAGACACGACTTCAGAATACGAAATTTAGTTAAACAGGACTTAGACACGACCTCACGTCTAAGTCCTGTCTAAGTCGTGTCTAACTAAACAGTTGTTTAACTTTAGACGTGGCTAAGTTAGACACGACTTCAGAATACGGGCCCATGACTTTTACAAGCCGATCGCCTGTCTGATTATCAAGATATTTATGATTGGAATTACAAAATTTGAAAACCGTTCGCCTGACGGTTTTCATAACACTACAGTCTATTGGGGAAAACGAGTATGGTAAAACCGGTCACTCAAAGATTTTTTACTTTTTTGAGGCACTTCTTGATCATTTTGAAGCGCAATTTTTTAGGGCTTCAATATTACACCACATCACAGACACTGATAACATGTAGGGCCGTGTATCTCAGATTTAACATTGTTAAACGATCCATTTAAACATGGGCTCCACATGAATAGGCACACATACACACACACACAGGCCTAACAAATTGCGCTCTGGCCCCCTAGACCCCTAGTAAAGAGATAAATTGTGAGAGAGTGGAGCCCTGCTTTTCACAATGCTCAATTTTAGCAAAAGTTCTTACCGATTGTTGGCAAACGCCTTGATTCCATTCCGAGCCGCACTCGTACGGGCAGCTCAATCTCTCGCAGCCGTCCCCGTGGTAACCTGAATTACACACGCAGGAATGGTCAACGCACGTCCCATGGCCCGAGCATCCATACGTGCAGTCTTCGATGGTATAGGTCGCATCAAAACCTAGCAGGTTATAATTACGGTCACTGTACATGTATATCAGCATCTGAAACATACAGGGAAAGGAGAGTTTAAATTGAATACGATCATACCAATTCAGCTCCACTTTAAAAAACCACTTACAGTGACTTACAATCACGGCTGGTGATGCGTACATTATCATAACCAAAACAAAAAGGCAACAAACAGCCACTTTTTGGCATTGGCTGGAATACAATGTATAAGGCGCTATCTCGTTTTCATCAATGGCTGGTTCAAAATTCAAAATTCAAAATTCAAAATTCAAAATTCAAAATTCAAAATTCAAATTAAAAATTACTGAACATTTGTTGGGCACCACAAATATCAAACAAAGTTGATTTTGTTTGTTTAAATTGTATATTCTTTCAAATTTGACACTCAGTTTTTCATTGTAGTGCCCTCTGCATCCCTTTAACAACTCACCTGGCCAGATTCGGCAAGCAACGTGGACGGAATAGAGTCACCGCTGAGAGCGGCGATCATAGGACTTTGGTGAGAATTGCCATCGTACACACTGACAAAGTCGTAGCCGCATTCGGTGGCAAATTTTGTGAATGTCAACATGATCCTCATATCTGAGCTTGGAGCTGGAAAGAGAAAGAAGACGATTATAAAATGTTAAAAGCAATTCCTCTCAATTAAAAAAAAGCCTTCATAGTCATTCATGTACATGTATCTTTAATGAGATCAATAGCATATTTTCTTTTCATGATATTGCACAATACACAACTTGGCAGGAGAATAAATGTATAAAGGTAGACTGGAGTAATTATGGCCTTCTGTGTACATGCAAGTTTTTGCAAATGCTGCATTAAAGAAATGATTAACTTAAAAATATATAATTTCATATCACTTTGTAGATTAGAGGCATTATTAAATTTTCCGCCCAAAACATAACTACGGAACTGTATATTTATGAAAATAAACAAATCTTATTGTTGACAGATCATCCAGCCCAGGTCCTCAAATTAAGGATAACATGGGTTGGGGACGGGGTAATTGTGCCATACAATGTCCAAGTAAACGTATGTACAATTTTTTATTTTGTATTGAATATCTTGTTGCCATGAGTTTGCAAGACAGACATTTACAAAAAAAAGATCTGATTGTAATACCTGTGTAGTAGTGAATTCAGTAAACAAAAATGTAAAAATTTCTCTCTCCCTTTTTCTGTCTCTCTTGTGTCACTGAATACATACATGTACATGTAGGCCTGATATTTTCACGTACGTTACAAATAATGTCAGACTTGACCAGTAAAGCGTACAGTACCAGATGGACTGTTTGATAAATAGGTTTTTATGGGAAAGCATCGAACTGGAATGGAAACCAATCAATGATAATAGTGTTAATAAATGGATGATAATGTAGGTCAGGTATTCTGTGACACACAGTTTTATAGTCAGATGTTTCATTGGATCGAAACTCTTAAATCCATTGTTTGTACCTGTTCCTGTAGTCATGGCTGCACCAATCATATTGGGCGGAGACGAGAACATTTATGTTATTTGGCCTTTAAATAATAACCATTACGTGAAGGTATTTTTTTTTTTTTTTTTTTTTTTTTTGGGGGGGGGGGGGGTGTTGCGTACATGTACATATACTGTACATGAGCTACTTATATTTTACTTTAGACTGACTAAGACCCTGTTCTCACTCACTTTGAAAGTGGTCTTAGTTAGACCGCTCCAGACCGCTCCAGAGGAACGGGTCTTGAGGAACGGTTTGCGAGCGTTCACACTCCGAGCAGTTTTTATGGCTCAAACCGCTCCACGAGTCAAAGTGGTCTTGTTGCTATGGCAGCTCAGGTAGGCGGGTCAATTTTTTCACGCGCGGAATACAAACCGTATGTACCGTACTACATGTTTCGCACGGAACGTCACTAGCTCACTTCCGCTCAACGTACGCTTCCGTTCACATTGCACGTTAGAGCGCTCTGGAGCGCTCTTAATAAGACCCGCTCCTCGAGACCACCTCGGAAGGTGGACTTCTGGAGCGGTCCAGAAGTCTGCTTCCTGGACCACTTTGAGCGTTCTCACTCACCTAAGACCCGCTCCTGAGGAGCGGGTCTTAGTTAGAGCGCTCCAGAGCGTTCCAACGAAGTGAGTGAGAACGGGGTCTAATAGGCATTCAATTTCTTGCCCCTTCATCGGTCATGAAGCCACATGTTTTTAATAGTGCCCAAAAATACAGGTATGATATGCTTCTCTGCTCTTATGGCAAATAATTAAATACCAGTACTGTTCATGGGGCAAGTACCAGATCTACATGTATACACAGTACAGATGGCTGAGCTGAGGTGTGTGTGTGTTTGTGATCTTGCTCCATGCCCCAAATTCACTGTGAAAGTGACTTCCAGGCCAGGAATATGAATATGAAAACTAGTCTCAACACACAGACTCTGTATATGTACAGTAGCTCATAAAGTAAAGTGTAAATATTGCTGTTGTTCCAATAAATGATCATGTACAGTGTACAGTTGCTGTAGGCCTCAAACATGCACATGTACTGTATGTCTTGTACAGTGTATGGCTGGGCATGTTATAATTACTGTACACTGTACATACATTGTACATGTATACTAGGGCTGCGACGTGTAGTCGAATGCTCGAGTACCCGCACGGTTGACAACTACTCGGGTACGATTTTTAGTACCCGAATATTCGGCCAAAAAAAAATAAATAAATAAATAAATAAATCTGTCCAGGCCGACGCTTACCCGTGCCTGGGTGAGCGGCGGCCACTGGCATGGTGCCGTCGGTAAAAATGCATCCCAACTCAAGCACTGTCAAACTCACCACTCAGAAACTGGGACCAAATGTCTGGATTTCTGTTTGGACTTGGAGGAAAATGGATTATTCTGCCATCTTTGGTTTTTAAAACAGCATTGTTTACTGTTATTATTATTATTAAATCGGCGCCTTCAACTGCAACTCAAAGTAAAATTGCATGCGTTTTCGGCGACGTGAGATACTGCCCCAGTGGTATGGTGGTGGCCAAAAAAAAAATCAAAAAAAAAAATCAAAAAAATTCAAAAAAATTCAAAAAAATTATAAAAAAACATGTCGTCCGAATACTCGAGTATTCGCTTGTAAGCCTGGGAGTGTACCCGGGGACCTCATTACATGTACACTGTTGTGCACAGCCTTAATGTATACATGTACATACATGTACATGTACAGTACTACATGTACATGTTTGTGTATTAAAGGACCTGTAGTCTAAGTACGGTACTGCTTTCACTATCAGAGTACTTTTAATTTTGTGCATCCCCCTGGTATGAATCAAATAAAACTCTGTACATCATGTTCATGTACATTGCATGTGTACTGTATGTACATGTACAGCAAAGTACTGTACATGTAGGTCTTCATGATGTATTTACTGCATTAAGTATGCAGGGAGCTGTGACTTTTTACTCCTTTAGTACAGCCTTTTAATACTCCTGGGTACAGCCTTTTAATACTCCTGGGTATACAGTACATGTTAGGCTACAAAGAGACTATTTGCCATGGTACATGCATTGGGGTTGTAAATGATGAAAAGGAGCCTTGTTTACACAACTTCTTGGTACAATAATACAGACAGGGCTCAGGAGCAGTGTTCCTGGAATGAATATGATGCAATGCAGGGATCCGGTCCATTGTTTATTCAAAAGGGTTTATCTGTGTCTGGGTTACAATCAAAAGTAGTCTACATGTACAGTCTACATGTGCAGGGTCCTGCAGCTCAGACTAGCATCAATCAAATAATTGAAGCCAACTCTTTTTTACAGAGAAAGGTGCAGACTTGAGCTCATGAATGGATACAACATAGTTTTGCCATTTATTTTTGGTTGTTATACCTGTACAGTCTACTTGTTTGGCCTAAAAGAAAGTGTTAAAATGTGCAAAAATGAAGCGGAAAGTGGAAATTCCATTCACTGAAAAGCAGGTCAATTTCTACACACAGACATGCAGGAGACGCTGGTATACAGAACATGTACATGTAGGACATGTGGCCTTGCGGGTCAGGTGTTCAGAACTACACACGTAAAGTTTAAATGCACATACATGTGGGGACCTGTAAATGTTCATAGGTCCCTGGATCATGGTGCAGTGTGCATAGCATTAACATTAGCAGTTTAATCACTACGGTAAAGGCAATCCAACCCTTGTAATAATTTTGTTTGTATGAAAGCCGAAAAATTAGAGAAACAGAATGGTTCAAACTGTCTACTTCTCTGATTTTTGTTCTGCTTTAACAAAGTATGAATTTAATATTCATGATTGAAAATTTTTGAAAGGGAAAATCATGGCCCTCGCGTACACAGATTCCTGATGGGCCCGACCTAGCGCCACGCGTTCTTTTAAAAAAAATAAAATAAAAAATAAAAAATAAAAAAAAAATAAAAAAATCAATTTTTTTTTTTTTTTTTTTTTTTTGAAAAATCAGAAAATTCCAGATTTTCGGGGCCTAGAAATCCCCCAAAAAACAGAATATTATGAATTATTCGTAAGGGTTGGCAGGTATGGTATTAAAAATTCATCAAATTAGTTGTAATACTTGTAAAAAATAAATTTAAATTTTAAAAAAAAAAAAAAAAAAAAAAATCAAATTTTTACTTTTTTTTTTTTTTTTTTTTTGGGGGGGGGGGGGGGGCCGGGGGGGGTCAAATTTTCCCTCGGGTCGCGCCACGCGTTTTTAATTTCTTGGCGAGAGGCCTGGGGAAAATTAAAATTTGTGAAATTTGTTGGTACGGCAAATCAAATGCGAGGGAAGCTCGCGAAATGTACATGAAGTACATGTACAGTACATGTCACAGGGTTGCCAATTTGCATTTTATTGGCAGCAACTTCAGAAATTCATAACTTTCTTAGGTCATAAAAAATCCACATGTTTAGCATCCCCGCCTGCTTCCTTTTGGGGGCCGCCTGCAATTTTTTTTTTTTTTTTAGAAGGAAAAAAAACATGAAAAACACTGCTAAAATGAATCTATTTCTGATTTTTGAAAAAAATTGTCGGCGGCCATCCGACTGTCAGGGAAAATGTACCGAGCGGCAATTTTTAAGAAGAAAAAAAGGGCCTCCTCCTTCCTACAGTGTACATGTATTTTTTTTTAAAAACAGAAGCTTAACATGTTTTGTTTTTTATTTGGCCTTATTCTTCATGCTCAAATTTTCAATGACCTGTTCCTCTCATTGTTCTGCTCCCATTGATTTGATTAAAACCAACTTAATCAGGGTGGACTTTAAAATTCAAACTAAATTTTACATAAAGTTGAGAACAGCATATTCGTATTTAAACAAAAAAAGATGCGCTAGTCCGAGAATGAGGACCGTCTGCAACTCTGCATAAACGAGGATATCCTTGTAAACATGGACAAAATGCGTCCTAAAAAATAAAGATCGTCCATATGTTTGCGGATGTTTTTTTTCTTTGACGCATTGCAGGTTTTCTCCCCGATCGATCCGCGCGCTGGCGCCGTCATAAAATACCCCCAGTTCACCATCTACTTTTATAGGTTGTCGATCTTCCCGAGGATTTATTGCTCATAATGTGAAAGTGTCTGTGCAAGGTCAACGTGAAATGTGTCCAGAATATCATTGCAGAATCTGTTTTTTCGCATCGCCAAAACGCGGATCGGAAATCTAAATCGTCAGCAAAAAAAGCGGACGATCCATATTTTTTGTGGACGCATCTCTCCACGTTTAGGAAGAAGATCCTTGTTTATGCAGACGATCCTTATTCTTGGACCAGCACCCCGGACCCTACTGTTAAAAAAGACAAAAAGTCATGCAGTTCGGCAGACCATTTCTCACCTTGTATTAGCCATTCACACTCGGTTGAAATTGGATAACTCTTGTTCGGGTGATCCGAGATAAACCCTTGAAGATCAGTCAATATGGCACGACCAGTCGAACCAAGTCCATAACACTTTGCCGAACATGCCTGGCTCTTCAGAAACACACACAATAAAACTGTAATTAAAAATGTCTTCCAGTACGGTATGGATGGGAAAATTCCGTGAACTGTCTGCAACGTATTCCTTTTGGTATTTCCTGACAAATGGTGTCCTTTTAATTTCATGTTCCTTTCCGACTCTCTTCTTCTTGATGTGCTGCCTTCCCGTAAGCGACCACTTTTCCACATCTCTGTTGCTCGACTCTCTCCATTTCTCGACCTCGACAGGCTGCTATCCTCCCGACTTCGCTGCTGCATACATCTCACATTTTCAGCCAGAGTGAAGATTAAATCCAAGTTTTCTTCACTCTTCTTAGAATAACAGCCAGACTGTAGGTGCTCTGAGTCTGAGCACGGATTCAGCTTTGGCTTTGCTTTCGCCATGTTTGTGGATGGCGATGGCAAATTCGTCAGAAACAGCTGACGAGCTTATCAACCGCAAAACCAACCACACACACTCACAGAAGCAGTTTCGACTCTCGATATAGCGAAAATAAGAATCGCAGAAACGTAACAAAAAGTCTACTTTCCTACTGGAGATTACTCTCGTTCCAAGTCCATCTTTTCCCCATCATATATGGAGTACGTGCTTCCATTTTACGATGGCTGTTGGAAGAAATTGCGTGATTAATCCAGATAAAACGTTCCCTTTATCCTCGTTTCCATTTCATTCTAGCACTTTGTTGCACTGTACTACACTTCACCCCGTATATCCCATTGCATTACGTGCACGTCGTATTGTATGCCGAAATTTGACTCTAGAACTCTGACATAAAGGGTTCTACTATAGCAGCATCCGTTTTTAATGTGTCCATAGTATACGACTTATACAAAAGATGGCATATTTCTTGGGCCTTTTAAACTTCTTTGTTGACGCCCTCCGCGTTGACTGTACAGATAGTTGAACCATGAACGTTAATATATTTTCTTTTTCTTCTTCTCCTTCTTCTTTTTCTTCTTTTCAAGTTCTTCTTTTAACTCTCCTCCTCTTCAACCTTCTTCTTCTTCTTCTTCTTCTTCTTCTTCTTCTTCTTCTTCTTCTTCTTCTTCTTCTTCTTCTTCTTCTTCTTCTTTTTCTTCTTCTTCTTCTTCTTCTTTGGCTTCTTCTTCTTCTTCTTCTTCTTCTTCTTCTTCTTCTTCTTCTTCTTCTTCTTCTTCTTCTTCTTCTTCTTGAAGTTCCGGCCTACTTCTTCTTCTTTTCCTCCTCCTCGATCCTTCTTCGTTCTTCTTCGTTCTTCTTCTTCTTCTTCTTCTTCTTCTTCTTCTTCTTCTTCTTCTTCTTCCTCTTCCTCTTCTCTTCTTCTTCTTCTTCTTCTTCTTCTTCTTCTTCTTCTTCTTCTTCTTCTTTTTCTTCTTCTTCTTCTTCTTCTTCCTCTTCCTCTTCCTCTTCCTCTTCTTCTTCCTCGATCTTCTTCTTCTTCTTCTTCTTCTTCTTCTTCTTCTTCTTCTTCTTCTTCTTCTTCTTCTTCTTCTTCTTCCTTCCTCCCTCCTCGATCCCCCTCCTCGATCCCCCTCCTCCTCCTCGATCCCCCTCCTCCTCCTCCTCCTCCTCCTCCTCCTCCTCTTCCTCCTCCTCCCCCTTCCTCCTCCTTCCCCTCCTCCTCCCCCTCCTCCTCCCCCTCCTCCTCCCCCTCCTCCTCCCCCTCCTCCTCCTCCTTCTTATTCTCTTTCTCCTTACTCTCCTCCACCACCTATCCCTCTCTCTCTCTGTCTTCTTCTCCCACTCCTCTCCTCCTCCGTCTCTTTCAGTTCTTGAGGCTTTTTATTGTGCATTTCATGAATTTTGTATTACTTTTCTGTAATACCTTTTACTGAATAGGCCTATAAATCTTTTTTTTTAATAGCATACGTGTGTTTGGGAGAATTGTGTAAACTGACATTGCACAAGTTTTTATATGCAATGATACTACATGTACATCTTTCAGTTAAAATGTAGTTTCGTGATATTTGTGTTAGTGTGGAACACACTCTAAATTGGCTTCTTTTCTTCTTTTTTTAAACATTGCGATTCATATGTTTTAGTGATTTACAAACACACTAAATGAGGAAATAGTTGGAATTTCATTTGAGAAAAAAACAAAACACAATGACATAAGATGTGGAATTTAATCGTTTAAAGTGAAAATAAATATATCAGGGATATATGAAACTGCAAGCCACAATTTGATTTGATTGACATAATACGGTCACTTTTGCGTTATTATTGAGAATGTATTCTTTGATTTAGCCAGTGGTAGCATTTTCTTTCCTCGTTTCTTTCTGAATCATAATACCATTATAGTGTTGCTTAGCTAAGTACATAGCTTTAGGTAAGGATTTTTTTGTGTGAGCTGCTGTCTGTTTTTTGTTTCCTATTTCGAGCCAGTAGATGTACAGTTTTTTCTACTTTTTTTTCTTCTTCTTTTTATTGTGAAAGAAATATGTAAACTAGGTATTCATTGTATACCAAACTACAAAAGGGGCATTGTTATAAACTATGTATGGAAATTGATCTGAATGTCTTGTCAAATTGTATAACAATTCTGTGGATTTGTGGTCATGTCCAGTATAATATGAATGCACCAAGTACTATTTTTCAATGACACGTAATTGCGAGGCATTTCTTCCGGTTTTAAACTTTTATGGATTTGTTACCGGGAAGTGATATGAATGTACATATATAGGATTTCATCTTTTTTAGTGAGAAATAAATCTAGGTTTAAAGGAAGCAATGTAAAGCGTATGTGTGATAATTGCATTTAGCCATGTATGTCTACTCTAGTATATTCTTTGAGCTGTATCATATTAGGAGAAGTGAATTTTAAAAATTGAAAGCTTTGAAAGAGATGGAGGAAAAAGGAAAGGGTTGTGCCGGGAGGTAAGGACGGAGAGCCAATGGAGGGGGGGGGGGGGGGATACAAAGAGAGAGACAGACAGACAGAAGGAAACGTTGTCTGCGGCAGCTCACCCCCCCCCCCCCCTCCCTCCTTATATATGTGCAGGCACGTAGCCAGAGTCTGATGTTTTGGGGGCACATACATGTAATCGATCGAGGTAAAAAAAAGTTCAGCCGATCTTTGAATTTTTTATTTATTTTTTATTTATTTATTTATTTATTTATTTTTTGGAGGGGGGACGTACCCCCCCCCCCCCCCCCCGTGGCTACGTGCCTGTATATGTGCACACACCATGATGCCTTTGTTGACTAATTGCACATTGTTTTCAGTTAAATCCGTCTATAAAGCCTAATTGCGCCTCTCTTAATTGCTTTTCAGCGAATGTGATTTCCATGTGCAGCACTGCATGTATTCTAGATTCATATGGCTAAAACATTTCTACCTTCTTCTATCCCACTCCCCCTTCCTCTCTCTACTCTCTCCCCTCTCTTTTCTCCCACTTCCTTTCTTCCTCCGTTTCTGTCTTCACATTGTACCTTTTAGTACATCTTTTATCTGTAAAGCGCTAAGCTTTGTATTAAGCGCTATATAAATGAGAAATATTATATTATTACTTTACTTTCGTATCAATATTTTCCTTTCCAATTCGATCTCTCTCTGTCTCTGTCTCGGTCTCTGCCCATGAACCTTTGTATTAGGTTCATGCTCTGCCCCTCTCTCACACTCTCTGTTTGGTTCTAAAAGGGCACCAGAAATGTCAAAGATAAGAATATAAGATGAATAACATATATAGGCCCTACTTTTAAGGTATTTGCGCTCTTAAACAATTATTAACTCAACTATCCCTTTAATGTACTCCGCGCAAATACTACGTATACATACCTGTATCGTGCAATCTAGTGCTGGAGGCATGAAATTAAAAAAATCAACATAAATTATACAGGAAATATCTGAACTCGTCTATTTCCTGCAATTTCTCAGTTAGGATATTTATTACATTAAAAGGATATAATTCTTGATATTATCTCAATAACTTTTACCATTATAACAAATTTTATGTTCGCCTTCGCATTGGTTATTTTTCTTTCTAATTAGATACCAGCAATTTACAAATGTTTCTGAAATGATATGATTTTCCCGGGGGGGGGGGGGGGGATTTTACACTTTCTGGTCAATTGTTCTCTTTTTAAGAGATTCCCAAATTTATGGTCATGCAAAGTGCCCCTTTTTACATAGGAAAGGTGCCCCCTATAACTTAAGAGAAGCGCCTCTTTTTTTCTTCTTCAAATAGGTGCCCGTTCCACTTTCTTATAGGTGCTTCTTACCAACTCTGATAAGTGCCCCCTTTACCTCTGATAATTGCCCTATTGAAATCTGAGAGGTACCCATTTTACTTTGACAAGTGCCCTTTTCTCTTCAGATAAGTGCCCCTTTTATCTTTGATGAATGCCCCTACTCACCTCTGATAAGTGCCCTTATTATTTTGACACATGCCCCCCTCTTTTTCTTGCTATGAAGTTTCCTTTTTCGTTCTGATAAATGCCCCTTAAAAAAAAAAAAGAGCCACCTCCCCTTCTCATCAATGCCTCTACTCACACCTCTATCAAAATCTCATAGGTAACCCTTTCCCTACGACAAGTGTAAATTTTCCTTTGTAATTAAGTGCCCTATTCTTATCTTATAATAATAATAATAATAATAATAGTGAACATTTATAATGCGCCATGTCTGTCAAAAATGACACTCCTGGCGCAGTTGTGTGGAAATTGTATAATTGTGGGCATACGACCATAAAGTAGTTTAAGAAAGAAAGTAAAATACACATAAGTTAAAGTTTAACATACTTCAGGACATAATTTGCAATAATAGAATAATAAAATACAAAGCATATTACAATAATAACAGTTATATAAGGGTAGTACAATGTGAGACATAATTAAACAAACTAATATGTTGAGAACAGAAACGTTTTTAACAAAGACTTGAACTGTGAGTAGAATTCTCATTTCGAAGGTGAGGAGGGAGTGAGTTCCACAGTTCAGGGCCAGAACTTGAAAATGATCTCAGGTGAGTGCCTCTTTTCAGGAATAAGAAGTGCCCCTTACCACCTCTGATAAGTGCCCGTTCACCTCTTATAATTGCCTCTTTTTATTATAATAAGTGCCCCTTTTCGTCTCCGATGAGTGCCCTTATTCATGTTTGGGAGATTCCCCCTCTTCATCTCTGATAAGTGCCCCTCTTCCTAGTGTTAAATGCTCCCTTTCAAAAATAAGAGCCACCTCCCCTCCTCATAAATGTCCCCTGCTCACACCTCTAATAAATACCTCTATTAAAATCTCATACGTACCCCGTTTCCTATCAGTGCAAATTTTCCTTTGTAATAAGTGCCCCTTTCTTATCTCACACGTGCATCTATTCATTTCAGGTGAGTGACCTTTTCCAGGTATAAGAAGTGCCCCTTATCAACTCTGATAAGTGCCCATTCACCTCTTATAATTGTCTCTTTTTATCTCCGGTGAGAGCCCTTATTCATGTTTGGGAGATTCCCCTCTTCATCTCTGACAAGTGCCCCCGTTATTTGGACTCGTGTCCCCTTATCCTTCTGTATCAGTGCCACTTTCCTTCCGATAACTGCCCTTAATTCTCCTTTGTAATAAGTACTACTTTTCCGTTCTCATAAGTGCTGAGTGCCCTTATCAGGTGTGAAAAATGCCCCATTTTCACCTCTGACAATAACCTTTTTTTATTTTAACATGATCCTTTTTTTTTCTCCTAGTAAGTGTCATTTTCCCTTTGGATGTGCCCCTTTTCCCTTCCACCATGTGCTCCTAATTTAAAGCAACTAAGAGCATTTTTTTGCACTGTGACCTCACAAATAAATATATTCAGACCATCACACCAAACTGCATTGTATGATGCTTAAATCTTGAAACAAATATAGAAATCATCCCTGATAAAAACAAAATTGCCCATTGTGCCGCCTGGTGGTAATGCTGATTTTTTCTGCTCTCCTAAAAGTTTTTGCTTATAACGCCACTGAGTGTAGTTACACATGGGACCCGTTTCACAAAGCCTTTTTCAATGACAAAAATAAGTGACAAATCTGCTGATAACCAATCAGAAGCAAGGATTTCAGTAGCTTATCAATAAAAAAAAAAAGTTGTCATTTGTCACCGATGACAAGCTTTGTGAAATGGGGCCCAGGGTGGTATTATGTTGTAGATTGGTACAAGTGTGGAGGTGTATTGTTCAAACTTTAATACAGAATACAATAGCAAGAAGGTCAAAGGTCATGCCATTGTTGTGACAATTTCAGGGTGCATCACTGTTCAAGACTTCTTAATTGGTTCTATAGACAAGAAGGGTAGAACATATTCAGAGAGAATATAAAGAGAATATTCAGTTTCGGGAAAGGTGAAAATAATTTGTGGGCTTTTTCATTTTGTTTTAATGTTAGTGTACATGAAAGAATATCATAGAGAAAATGTCCATTGAAAAGGATGGTTCTTCAAAATATGCCCTCATATTTGAAATATGACAAGAAACGGCGGTATGTGGACTACAATTTTCATGCCACATGTTTGTGTAGTCCCATATACCGGTATAAATTCATGTGTAGAGTGCATGCGACTCGTAGCAAGGCTCGGCTGTTAATCATGTTGATGATTCCAAAACTTCCCAGTATACACCAACGCTAATGTGCTACTTGATCAATGTTTCCCATCATTTCCACACAGTTCCTTTCACATTGCAATGGATTGACCTGGGGACCCGTCTTATAAAAAGTTCCAATTGATCCGATCAATCGCAACTCCTTCAATCACTCCCAAGTTTGCAGTCTCCTATCTCTTTTGTACATAGTAGCGGTTGATACCATCAACAAGGGGGCCCAGAGTTTGACCTTTTCAGTTTTTGTACATGTATTTATGAGGGGTGAAGGAATATGTCAATTGTAAATGCAAGGAAGCCCAGATTCTGTCACCTCAATGAATCTACTAGTTTTCTCTCTAATCATCCCCTTAATTCTGACATTACAGATAATATTCCAAAACATTCCACTAGTACAGTTTTGAAAGCAAAAAAGAAAGTGATAAGAAATGGGTTAGATATAGTTTTGTGTTGCTCTCCTTGTTTCAAAAGATAAAATTATTTTGTATTATATCCATTTTTTGGGGTGATTTGTTTGTGTGAATATATGTAAGGAATGCTAGACAAAGACTACTCCCCTATGCTAGCATGCTTCCACCCTGATGGTTTGAACATTTAAATTTGGCTGCATTTTAACAAAATTTACAAAGTGGTTTAAGATTTAACCAACCTTTACAATGCTCCTTGGGACTTTCTCAAGCCATGTGATTATTGACACAATTAACTTCCTATTAGTATTACACACAATCAACAGCACTTGTTCAAACAGGCAATTTGTGTAATGCATTGGAATAAAACAAGTCTTAATGCCAAACTACCAAATCCATCTGTTACTTTATTTCAATAGTCATAGTAAAGACTGTATAATGTATACAAAGTGTATTTGTTGTAAGTGTTTGATAACATGTCATGCATATGGTTTGTTCAACCCAATTGCACTTCACATAAGAGTATGCAGTATGCATTCTGGCAATTGACAGTTGTAACAGATAAATGGAAGTTTGTTGCAAGGCACTTGACAGTAAATTCAAATGCATTACAAAATTTCCCTCTAGCACACACACACCCATACTCATTTTGACATTTTCCCAGTCGTATTCACTCCTACTGAACCAAGCAAAGAGCCACCGTAAATTCTGTTTTTTCGCCCAAGACCCTTCTCCCTTGGGGCACTAATGCAAATATATTGTGTGTAACATATCATCAAAGGGTCTCTAAAACAAAACTTCCTGAATCATACCTTCCTGAACAAATGGGGTAAATTTGTCACTTCATATTTGCAAGGGGGTCTGGATTTGAGTTTTTGGAGTTTGTACACATGAGCCCTACCTATGTAAAACAAAAAATGGGTTTGCAACTAGGATTTTGGGCACCTGTTAGTGTTGAGCCCTGATATACACATTACAAACATCTGGAGAAAAAAAATCACACATACACAAGATATTTTGCTTTTTCTAGCTTACACCATTTATCCAAAATATCAAGGAAATATTAATATGAAATACAGAGAAATACTTTTGATGTAGAACAATTCCTTATGTACATATATACTCTGTGCCGATTTTTAAATTCTGCCTAATCATAACTTGTTGTCAAGAGACTTATACTGGACCGATTAAAAGTTTCTGGAGGAAAATTTGTATCTCGGCAACAATTTTGAGCGAAGAATGGATCCAAACAATGGTGAGGTTGATACGCTGGACAAATGGTGGTAGGCTGTTGTTGCTGTTGCTGCTGTTGCTTGTTGTCGCTGTTGCTGCTCCTGCCTGTTACTTAGGCCTCTTCTTGGGGCGCAGGTCATTGGAGTGTCCGCACTTCTTCTTGCGGCAGTTGGTTGCACGGGGATGAAGACGGGCATAACATCTGTAGGGGGAAGAATACAAGGCAAGTTTCCTTATTAGTTTGTGTTTTATAGAGGTTACCTCATGAAAGAAACTAAGATGAAGACGGGCATAGCATCTGTTGGGGAAGAGTACAAAGTAAAGTTTCCATATTAGTTTGGTCCTTTTTTTTTTATAGGATACTGAAAGAAACAAAGATGAAGACGGGCATAACATCTGTCGGGGAAAGAATACAAGGTCAAGTTTCATTATTAGTTTGGGTTTTATAGAGGTTACCTAATGAAAGAAACTAAAATGAAGACAGGCATAGCATCTGTGCTGGGAAAAGAATACAAGGTCAAGTTTTCTTATTAGTTTTTTTTTTTTAGAGGATACTGTTATGTTTATGGAGAGAGCGTATTTAAACTTGCAGTGTCTCTTCAAAAAAGCTTGCAGCTCATATTTTTAATATATGAAAGCCCTAATATAAAGAAATACATATATCTATTTGTCAACTAAGATATACTTGAATATCCTTTGGTCTACATGATTATTTTCCTTATTGACTCACTTTCTGCAAATCTGCTTATCACAGTTGTACTTCTGGGCCAGGAGACGGAGGGAAGGCTCGATCACACCACCTCGCAGACGCAGCACCAGATGAAGGGTAGATTCTGCACAAAGAAAAATTATCAAATGTTATTTTGTCTATAGCCAAAATCACATGAAAATAACGTCTCTATGCACTAGGCCAAATTAAAAAAAAAACATGTTTAGTGTCCTACTTTTTTCAAAACAGGGAGCCCCCCTCCCCACTTTTTTTTTCTTTTCAAAATGGCCGCTTGGTACATTTTTCCTGACAGTCTGGCTATTTTTCAAGATGGCCGCTGGCATTTTTTTTTTTAAATCAGAAAAAGATGTATTTTAGCAGTGTTTTTCTTTCTTTTTTTTTTTTTTTTTTTTTTTTAAATTTCAAAAAAAAAAAGGAGGCGGCCCCCCCCCCAAAGGAAGCGGGCGGGGACGCTAAACATGTATATTTTTGTTAATGGCCTTACCAAGGACTTTGGAAATTTTTACTTCGTCTTTAGCTCCCGCAACTGTAGCACCGTGCATGCAAGGAATGAATCCTACCAGTACGCACTTACTACACCTGGGTCGAGTCCGGCTAATGTCGATTAATGTCTTGCGGCAGGGATTCAAACCCTGTACCTTGTGGTTTACGATACGATCCAGAGACGAATCTACTAGACCACAGCAAAATGTAAACTCATTGTTTTTGTGATGTAATTTAAGTAAACATTAGTTATCACTGTGCTTCTTGGCATTTTCTTCTTAGCCCTGTATGTCTGAGTAATCTGTAGCAACTATGGATACTGGGTTTCAGGCCAGATTTGAATAAATCAATCATAATTCATCTAGTTTGACTATCGGTTTTGGTTGACTATGGAACTAATGTGACATGCATGTCTGATGTCGCATACATTTCTGAATAATGTGGCAGTCTAGGCTTTCAATCAGTGGCAAATAAGATGTACCACTTGTTTTGTTGCATAACTTTACCTTTTTTTAAAGAACACCCTTCCAATGAAAATTAGCATTAGGTCCTAGCAATGCAACCTCAATTTTTTTTTATGTTGGGTTTGAAGCAGATGATCATGACAGACTCCGAAAAATGTAACTACTTGCAAGCTAACTAGATGATTATTTATGACATTTGAGACAGAAATAAATTTAAAGGGTTGTCATTGAGCTAATCAAAACTAGACATGGTAAATTTTGGAGAGCTTTTGTGTTGCAAAGCAATCCTCCCATCAATTGGTGAAAATTGCAATTAAGGCAAACAAGTGACTGTGAAGAAAGGCAAAGAAAGCAGCCCAGTGTTCAATCATTTAAACTTTGCTTACATTTTATGCTTCTGAAAATTTCTGGTTTTACAATACTTAAAAGGCCGGCTGTAATAGTTTGGCCAGGAGGGATTAGACCACAGAGCGCGGTCAATGACAGGTGGCTACCTCATCAACTCAGCTCTCAATTAAAATAAGAAAAAGAGGATCATGTGAGACCAATGATGACCGATTAGGCATTGTTTTCTATATAGAGGGAGCAAGTAGCTACAAGTAGTACAGTGGGCCTTTAAGATGGCTATAACTTTTGCAAATTACCTACCTTTCTGGATGTTGTAGTCTGAGAGTGTGCGGCCATCTTCCAGCTGCTTACCAGCGAAGATCAAACGCTGCTGGTCGGGAGGGATACCTTGAAGTATCAAAAACATAAGATAACATATTACAACAGGTACATAAGTCTGCAATCTAATATTCTGAACAGGTGATATTTATAGATTTAGATGAACAAAAATTCAGATCCAGGTCCATCAGCATAGCACATGTACATTCACTTTTACTTCTCCTTAAAAACTTTTGAGCCACGAAAGGGCTAATAATTACAAAATCCATCAGAAGACAGCTCAATGTGATAAACAACAAGAGGTCAACAGGTGTAAAATATAATTTTAACTTTATTGAGATTAGAGCATTATTTTTAGCCCAGTCTCAAATGTGATTGATGATGCAACAAGTTTTCAGATTCAAGAATTGGGGAAGGACTTACATGTATTTATCATTTGAAGCTAATAAATATTATTTTAGACTAACGAATAATGGATGTTGACAGGATATTACACACAATTGAGTAAAATGTGAAATTTTGGCAACATTTGAAGAAGAAAAAAGTTAGAGAAATTAACATTTTTTTCATCCATGAGTATTTTTTGGTTGTTGAAAGAATTATTTTAAACAAAAACACTGGTTTGGCAAAATGACACTGGTGCCCCATATTGTTGCAATCTTGACTTGGGCTTGGTTATTAAAAATCTCTTCACACAAATAAAAAAACAAAAAAATCTCTTGTAACTACAGAATAACCCATCATGTATCATGACACAGTCTCTGGGATGAGTTTGGGTGTTAAAGAGTCAGGGTCATGGTCAGCTTAGGATGGAGGTTACTTGTATGTACCGTAAATAACGTTGTATTAACCGCACTTTTTTTACCGCCGGTAAACATCAAAAGTCGGGGGTGCGGTTTATACACGTTACAGACATAATTCATGCTGCAAATTGTGTCACTGAGGCTGAAGTTCTTGGCTTAGTTAGATACCATTGTCCTGAAAATGACACTCGTTTTTAACGTTTTTTAAATCATCCATCGGAAGTTCTGACATTAGAAAAAATATTTCTAATGTGAATGTTATACTATAATCTTGAATCTGATAAATTTTCATGTAATTCTGATGATGCAAAATATGAAATTTGGGGCCTGGAATTGTGCTCTGTCACTGCCAAGTCAATCATAATTGTGTTGGGATTGTTATTATGTACGTGCGGTGGACAAAAAAAATTTGCATTGCCATACGTGTGATAATTCATGTAGTGAGATTAAGAAATACGTGACCAAAAAAATATATATATATTTCCAGCGATATTTTGTATGAAAATACTTGTCACAAATCTACAAATAAGCAATATTTTATTTTTTGAACTATTATTATTGTAATATTTCTGGTTGATTGATGATTTTAACTTACGTGAAGATGGATGTTTGTTGATTCTAAATATATGTCTAGTGGTGGTAATTGGATGGATTTCATATTTTGAGTGTGTGTAAGTACGTGTGTTGGTTACATGATACATAAGTGTAAGAATTTCGGCCAAATTTTACAATATAAATGATGAAATAAATATATATTGTAGTACCGTATTTTCCGGCGTAAAGGCCGCACCCCCAACTTTGACATTTCGTAGAGGAAAAAAAAAAAAAAAAAAAAAAAAAAAACGGACCAAAACAAAATGATCGTAATTTTCTTGTAGAACACTCTTTTTTTTACAAACTATACCAAATTCATCAATATTCTTATAAATCAACAAGAAGTTAACCTAAAAAATGATCATAATTTAGCAGATCTTCATCGACTTTTAAGCTAGTTACTGTATCGTACGCAGATTTGGTATCCTACAATACCCCTTCCTCGATGTGCGGTGTAATCCGAAAGAGCATTTTTCGACCTGCGCAGTTGCGTTGCGCGGCAGCTAGCTCCCTAAGACGGCCTGTCCCTTTGTTTACTTTTTGGCGATGCAATGGTATGGACTTAGATCTAGATCTATCGGCAGATTTTATTAGAAAAAAAAGTTTTTTCGTCTTCATGTCAACTATGCAACATAAAATTGTCGGTAAGTTGTGTGGAGTTATTCTAGAATTGTCCTGTACCGTTGTCTAGTCATGCTACCGTTCCTATAGTCCCATACGTGCAAATGGACGTGATGTTTTGACCGCTGAATTTTGTTGTTGTTGCGTATACGCCGCACCCCGACTTTTTGATTTTTTCTCACCCGAAAATACTGCAGCCTTTACGCCGGAAAATACGGTATTGTAATTTATTTATTCTGGAAAATTACGAGAATTTTTTTTTTTTTTAACCTCTTAAAAATAAACAATTATAACAACAGTAATGAAAGAGCCTGAATTGTAAATCCAATATGGCAGCTTGCATGAGTCTCAATTTCACACAACACCACCGACAAAATATTGACAAAATAATCATTTAATGTCAAATTGAAATCAAGATTCATGTACACTTGCAAATAAAACATGATTAAGGACAGGAATATGAATGTAAGTACACTTTTTCATTACGCTTTCATGTGAAATTAGTGCCGGACGAAAGCAGTGCTTTTCATCAGGAATGGTGGGTGAAGATCCCCCCTGCTGGTCGGCCCAGCACCTGCCCAATCCCGACCACTATTCTTACTATCAAACTTTGGCAAAAGTGATTAATTTTCGTTTAACAGAAAACCGTCCTGTTTTAACTAGCGTTCAAACGAAATTGAAAATATCTGGGATGTTACAACACTTATTCTGGGGGAGAAGAAAAAAGAAGAAAAACAAAATATATATATATATATTTTTTTTTGAGGGCGAAAAAGAGGGGTGCGGTTAATACACGAGGGCGGTTTATACGTTATTTACGGTAGCTTGTCAGGGATATTCAACAGTTGCTACACAATTACAAATCTTGCAAATGCAGGGCTAGTTTCTAAAAAGCCTTTGTAAATCTCAATTCTTGGGCATGTAATAGCCACATGTTTCAAGAATTCATAAACTTTTCAACAGGATGTGCACGAACTTAAAGGTAATACAAAGTTTTGGGAAATTTTGAAAATTGGGTGGATAGTGAATCTTTACAATTTGTATATATTTGGATGCCCCTGTGGATGTATTATAAGCACTAAAAAACTTAGCCCCTAAAACACTTCTGTTTTCGAGAAAAATTGAATATAACAATTTACCGGTGCTCCCGGTAAATTTTGATAAATTTCGAATAGCGCCTATGGCCGTACAATGGTAGGTGCGACCATGAAAATCTCAGAATATGTAGTTGTGATATATAATTTCCAAACGGTAATAGCTAATCGGTCAATTTTAGTCAAGAAACATTGTTTCATAGCTAAATTAATATCTTGACCTTGAGAGGGAGCTACACAACATAAAAAGTATATTATTTATAATTTCATAAATTTAGACTCGATTTCAACCGCAACGACGATCAATGAATATTGTAGGGACGCATATGCTTCCAATGTGTTAATTTGAACCAAATTCATGACCCCACGCCAAAACTTTGTAATACCTTTAACCCTTACTGTACTGGGCTATTTTGAGCACCCACTGACTGGGGGGGGGGGGGGGGGGGGGGGGGCCTGGGAGGCCCCCCCCCCCTTATGATCTCGGCCGTCGATTGTCCGATGAACACGAAAATTTGCATGTTTGTAGATATTTACGTAAGGAACAAGATGGTATAATTAGTTTTTTCCGAATATGTAAATTTTTGTCGTTAGCCTAATTAATTATGCAAAATGCGCTAATTTTATGCATTTTACAGAAAACGTGTCAAACTCCACTTTTTGAATGTTGAAACTCATTATTCATATGAAACTTCTTTTCTAACACAAAAAAGTTATTTAAATGTAATTAATAATGATAATTTATGCAAATTTTGATGGATTTTAAATTTTTTTTGGTTTTTTTTTTATGACATGCGCATACTAATTGTTATGTAACGCCGTACAGGTATATCCGATTTTGACGAAAATGGTATCAAAATGTGCGTAAGACTTGAGGGAAAAAAGTCATGAAACGACAATTCAAAATTCCAAGCGGTTGCGGCGCAATCTCCGAAAATGTCGAGGGGGGGGGGCCTCCCAGGCCCCCCCCCCCCCAGTACAGTAAGGGTTAAGATGGTTACAAGATAATGGGCCATGGTTGACTACAAAATATAAAAGTACCTTCTTTATCCTGGATCTTAGCCTTGACATTCTCGATGCTGTCGGAAGGCTCCACCTCAAGGGTGATAGTCTTGCCCGTCAGGGTCTTCACGAAGATCTGCATGGTTCTCTACGCAGCTGAAAGAGCAAAGAGATTGTCTCATATTAGATATTTTAGTTATTGAATATTAGAAGGACAGTTTCGAAGTCACGCCATGCACAAAGCACAGCATAAAACAACTCTTTTTATTAGGGTGGGGGGGGGGGGGGGGGTGTTAGGTGAATGATTTACAGGCTTAAATTTAAAAAAAATTATGTTTTAAAAATATTTAATCAGAAAGGATGATATCAAGAAAGTGTCTGGACAAGGAATGAAAGGTGCAACACAAATGGCAGGTGAAAGAGTTGCATGGCGTGCTCTCGTGAAGACCACAGCAGCGCTTTACAGCGCCACCTGAAGTTGATGATGATGAATCAGAAAGGAAAACTTAATACCGGTAAACAGAATTTATAAATAATCATTCACATAATCCCCCCCCCCCTTAAATGAAAAACAAGAGAGTGAAATGTTTACAACCCAATACACAAAAAGAGAATAGTTATCCACTCATTACTAACAATCTAATATATCACGATGCCTTCGCTTCTCGGCCAGCGTACATACCTGTACACACTGTTAGAAATAGGATTGCTTTGTCCTGAAATAAGCATGTTCATGGGGCACTCGCGAGATTCATTTGTTGGTCTAATATATTTAATCATCTCAAATAGAATTGTAAAATCTCTCACTGAAAATTAAAGAACACCTACGATCTTCTTGGACGTAGTTACTTTCAGTTTTGTTTTGCCAGCAGCCGATCTAGCGGTTTTTTGGCAAAAAACTAGCCCGTTATCTTCCCACCATAAACCTTTAAGCCCGAATTTACAAAGGAGATTTGTCGACAAACCTCCTTTGTGAATTCGGGCCATAGAGTCCCGGTAAAATTGCCCGCAGCGGATCTGCTGCTGGCGCAGTAGCTCTGAGGGCAAACTGCCAGCCCACTAGCTTCCGACCATTTGCGTTCTGCAGAGAGTGTGGCGGAAGATTTGTTTGCTAAATACGATTTCGGTTCGACTATGCACATTACGCGTTAGACTTTAATAGAGTAAGGACGATTTTAAATCTACAAATTTTTTATACAAAAATCTGTCAGTTTTCTTCCTATTTGGTTGTAGGCCTGCAGCACCTAAAAAGAAAATTTCTTCTAATTAGCTCCTGACCAAATGAACTTCAAAGTTGACCTTGGACTAGTTATTCTGCATCTGCATCAAGAGGGCATTGTTGATCATTTCAGCAGTAGGGGCGCTGGTCCGAGAATGTAGATAATCTTGTCAAAAGCGGACAAATTGCGTCCTCAAAATAAGGATCGTCCACATTTTTCGCGGACATTTTTTTTTCCCAGCGCAGGTTTCTGGTTCCCGCTCTGGCGATGCGAAAAACGGATTCCATGTAAAAAAATACCCCCAGTTCACTTCTACTTTAATAGGTTGTCCATCTTCCCAAAGGATTTATTGCTCATAACGTAAAACCAACCCACGGATCGGAAATCAGAATCGTCAGCGAAAATGCGGACGATCCTATTTTTGCGGGCGTGTCTGTACGCGTTTAAGACGATCCTTATTCACAGACCAGCACCCCTTGCCCTACTGTAGGGTGTCTGAACGATTTTTCAATTTTCAATTTGGGATCGTTTTTCACCATTTATGTTTGATATTTGAATAAAAAGTGTAATCAGAATAATACATTTCAAATTTGAAGCTTCACCGATGTTTCAATCAAAAGATACAGCCCCTCCAAAATGCTGGTATATTCATATCATTTTGGTCAAAATCGACGAAAAAGACGTCCACGCAGAGTGATGTTGTTTTGCTGAATTTAGCCAAACAGCTGTATCGCGCGATATGCAAGCGTATGCATATCGTACGCATGCTGCTAAGCCAATGCACGACTTGCAAGCTTGAGCTACGCTGTCTCCGCGACATGTGCCATTGACTAGTATGGTTAGCGTTCGTCGCACAAAAAACCCGGAAGTGAATGCACGTTATAGTCAATGGCAATATCGCGGAGATGTCTCCGCAATATTGCCATTGACTTTAACGTGTATTCACTTCCGGGGTTTATGGTGGGAACGGCCATCCATACTTTCATTCACTATAAGCGCACATGTTACGCGATGTAACCATGGTTTGGACTGAGCGGAGCTCACGCCTCCCTAATTAGCTGATTCCAAAAATGTGGGAAGGGTATTTTTAAACTGTTGGGGCGAGTGATCTCTTGGGGCTAGCGAAAAAATAAGTGCATACATATTTTCCTTACGTCTAGCCGGACATAAGCCCTGGGGGCGCAGCTCAGGAAAGTGGCCAATTTTGGAGCTAGGATGCAAACAACATTTAAATCGCTGTTTTGACCAAGATATTTTTAGAATTTCTGGGGTGCGCCCCTATGGGGAATATGGAGAAAAACCTGCTCTTTCATATGACACCTCATTTATTGAGTTTCACCTTCAGGATCACAAGCCCCAAAGGTTTGAATTTCAATTTTTTTTCATAAAATCATTGACCAATTTTCATGGTCGCGCAATGCACGTAGACTGCATAGGGATGCGTGCAATCTCTATGGGAAGTATTTTAGCACACAACATCGGGTGCGCGATCAGACACCCTACGCATAGGGATGCGTGCAATCTCTATGGGAAGAATTTTAGCACACAACATCGGGTGCGCGATCAGACACCCTACCTACTGATCAAGGAGGCATTGAGATTTTTAGTAGACTATCTTCTTGAATCATTTTTAAGATTTGGAAGCTTGACTAATTTGGACAGAAATGAGAAACTGCAAAAGCCAGAATTTAATAATTAGAGTAAAGGAGCCGGTAATCGGCCAGCTCCCGTTTTCGGCCAATTGGTTGGATGCAAGGTAAAATCACTCTAAAATACATCGCATAATAGCATAACACATATCCCACACATACCATATCATGCCAGTGTCACTGAAGAACCACATTTGCAATGAAAAATATATCCTAAAATATCACATTTTAGCGATGTAATCGGCGGTCCCGCTACCCAAATCTGAAAAATCGAGTTTCTTACGCGTGTATGTAAGAAATATGGGTACCATAAAATCAGCTTTATTTCAAGTATCTCAAAAGTATCTCATCGCATGTATTAAATCAATGCAGCCGGACCCTGCCACGCACACACGATATGACGATATGTCTGTCTAATTCAGATTCCAACTTCCGATCACCGCTGTGCCTGTCTTCGGCCAGGCGAGCACCAGGGAGCTCCGGCGTGGGATACCTGCTCCGCCCGCTTGTGCTGTACATCAGCGCGGAAACGCACGGCGCGCGCGAACGCTTCCTATTGACTTTGTACATGCGGCAGTAAACTGAAACGCTCGGCCGATAACTGGCTCCAAAACAGTGAAAATTGAAATGAATATTGTCATGGCAATTCGTGATTTTTTTCTGGGATTCTTTTTTTGTTTAAATAATAATAATATTTGCTTCATGATTTGAACAAAAAATGATAATAAATAGGAAGTAAAGGGTCCTAAAAATAGGATTTTGTCTTAAGTGGCCGAAAACGGGCTCCTTTACTCTAAATTTGATTTGATCATTTGGTCTCAAATTCTTAATTTAGTTAAAGAATCCACAGCCTTGGCTTTACTTAAGTCTAACTCTAACCCTAATGACGACCGATTACTAATTATGTGCCATAGAATAAAGATTTTAGACAGTGTTTTTCACAGCACTCTGCTCAGAAGTGGGCAAGCGACAGTCGGGCATGCATGGCCATCGCCATTGCATCGCCATTGGTGCACAGCATTGGCCATGCCATTGCATAGCCACAGCACACGCACAGACAGAGCTACATGCACAACATTCGTACGTAAATGGCCGGTGTACGGCTCACAGAGCTTGAGTGACCAACGACTTCAACTTCAAGAACATTTTAACAAGTAAATCTAATATCAGCGTTCATAATACACACATGACAATGGGCTTGGACATTTATATCATCCTTATATATATTCAACATATTTCAAAAGCACTGAAAATTGCATGCGAATAGAGCAATTTTGTGTCTGTAATGCGAACACGTTTTTTACTTACGTAGAACTCCAATGAAAAAGATCGCATCTAAGGTGCTCGACGCTGAGGGCAGCATAATGTTTAAATAGAGGATCCTTGGACTTATAATCGTCAAGGATTTTGATTGATTGATTGATTTTTATTCGACAAGCTTCCAAGTTAACATACAACAATATACAATAATAACAGATCAAAAATAACTCAGCTTGAACAGGATAACCCACGAAAGCTCGAGAGCTTATTTCCAGTGGGGTCCCTTACAGACATGTATCAAATTAATAAGTTAAAGGCACACTGTCCTACTTGTATAGCTACTTTCCTGTATAGAAAACTAATTCCCCAATCGGTGCCTGTTGGTCCCCCATGATCCTCTTTTTCTTATGTTAAATGAGAGCTGAGTTAATGAGATAGCCACCTGTCACAGTGACCTCGCTGGCTCGCTGGGTGGTCTAATCCCTTCTAGCTGAAGTAGTAAAGCCTGCCTTTAAAAAAGTAATATTTACAGACAGATAAGAAAATTAAAAGAATTACTTATTAAAGATTATAATAATAATAGCAACATGATAATACGTACAAGAAGAAAAAGAAGAAGGAGAAGAAGAATCAGAGGAGGAGGAAGAAGAGGACAATAATGATGAATTTGTAGAATTTCTATAATGTACGAAAACATAAGTATATACAAAATTAAAAAGTATGAACCGGCAGAAGAATACAAATTTCAATCATATATTAAACATGTCATTCACTTCTCTTCTCTGACTGTCAAGTATTAGGTGGTAGAAAATGTGACAACTTTCATTTCAATTTACTTTAATCAAATCTGCTTTAATTAGTTTAGTTCAGTACTTTTCACTTTCAATAGAGAGGAAAAAAAACATACATAAAATAGATAAAAAAATATAAAGAGCATCATAAGTAAATAACGATGCAAAGCAATATTATTCAGGGGCCAACAAAAAAGCACATAGCTTCATATAGACTTGGATTTATCATCCCAAAAGTTAAAGAAAACATGTGACAGTCATACAGGAATCAAGTTAAATAATAGATTGATTGATTGATTTTTATTCGCCAAGCTTCCAACAAAGAACATACAACAATATACAATAATAAAAGATAAAAATGAAGTCAGCTTGAACAGGATAACCCACGAAAGCTCAAGAGCTTATTTCCAGTGGGTTCCCCTACAGACATGTACAACATTAATAAGTTGAAATAGTAATATTTACAGACAGATAAGAAAAAGAAACAATTACTTATCAAAGATAATAATAATAACAACATTAAACTGATGATAGAAATGGTAATAAGTACAATAAGAAAAAGAAGAAGGAGAAAAGAAAAGAGAAGGAGGAGGAGGAAGAAGAAGAGGAAAATAATGATGAATTTGTAGAATTTCTATAACGTACAAATACATAAATATATACAAAATGAAAAGGTATAACCGGCAAAAGAATACAAATTTCAATCATATAACATTTCTATTTCTTGTTGTAAGTCGGTAACAAGATCGAAGTTGGATCGAATATAATGATTCGATCTAGTCTAAGAAGTATATTATATTCACAGAAAATGGCAGTTCGTGCCATAACATTTAGTGAATGGAGAACTCCTTCAGATCCATTATTTAAAAGGTTGCGAATCCTAAATGTGTATAATTTACATGATTTATCCATTTCTACTTTCATGTTTGATCTAGTCAATGGCAATTTGCCTCATATTTTGATAGAGTACTGTGACATTATAGAACATTGCTATTCCACAAGACAAAAAGAAGATGGACAATTACGTCTTCCAAAATTAAGAACGACACAAGGTCAATTTTCATTGTCTTTTGTGGGCAGTGAATTTTGGAATAGATTACCTGTTGATGTCAGACCAGGCGCGGATCCGGGGGGGGGGCCGAGCGGGCCTTGCCCCCCCCCCCCCCGCAAAAAAAAAAGAGAGAAGAAAGGAAAAGAAGGGAAAGGGAAAGAGGAGAGAAAGGGAAAGAAAGAAGAGGAAGAAGAAAAGAAAAGGGGAAGAAGGAGATCGAGGACCGAATGGGCCTTGCCTCCCAGGCTGTGCCCCCCCCCCAATCAAACAAATAAGAGAGAAAAAGGGAAAGGGAAAGAAAAAAAAGAAAAAGAGGAGATACTGGCGTACTGTTAGGGGGGGGGGGAGGGGGCTTGGGGGAAATCAAATTCAAACGTGTTTCATTTCTAATTCCATAACGGTGGATTACAAATAATGCTGAAATGACATAATTTTCCGAGATTTTTCCTCACTTTTTAGTAAATTATACTTTTTATGCGTTTGTTGGAAAATGACAAATTCCTGAATTTACAGCCATGCAAGAAATATGATTCTTGAGATTCCTACATGTCAGGGCCCGAGGAACGGTGGGGAGATCGGGAGCCTCGACCCCCCCCCCCCCACTTAAAAAAAGTATATTAAAGAGAAATAAGAAAGAAAGAGAGCAAGAAAGAAAAAATAGTTAACTGCCAGTGTCAACAATAATGAGGCATCAAAATATGCTCAGGTGACCGTGATTAAATGCCTAAAACCCCTAAGCTTTCGGGAGCTCTGCCCCCTGGATTCCACCTAGGGCCCTAAGGCGGGCCCTTAGATTCTCATCTGACGGTAATTTAATGCCTAAGACCCTGATTTTGGGGTCTCCGCCCCCAGGACCCAACGCCAAATAGTGTCCTGCCAGTGTTACAAAATAATAAGGTATAACAAAAACTGCTCATCTGACCGTAATTAAACGCCTAAAACCCCTAAGCTTCCGGGGGGCTCCGCACCCTCGACCAGGGGTCCTAAGGCGGGCCCCTGAATTCTTATCTGACCGTAATTGATTGCCTTAAACCCCTGAGCTTCCGGGGTCGGACAAGGTATCAAAATGTGTTTATCTGACCGCAGGTGCGTAGCCAGGGGGGGGGGGGGGGGCGGTGGGGGCTGTCCCCCCAAAAACAACGGCAAAAAAAAAAGAGAGAGAAGAGAACAGGAAGAGGACGTAGGAAGATAAAGGAGCAGACAAAGAACATCTTTAAAATTCAGAAAAGGATTATGAGTAGAGAACGGTACAACGCAGCGTCTTCTTTCTATAATAATTTAATGAAACGTCAAAGCTTCCGCACTTTGTGCAGGAGGGGGAAGAGGGGACTGAATTCAGAGAAGGATTAAGAATCGAGAACTGTACAACGAATCGTCTTGTTTCTCTAATGATTAAGTGAAACGTAAAAGCTTCTGCGCTTCGCGCGGGAGGGGGGGGGGGGGGGAAAACTAAATCCAGACAAGGAGTCGAGAACTGTACAACGAATCGTATTCTTTTTTTAATGATGTAATGAATCGTAAAAGCTTCCGCGCTTCGTGCGGGAGGGTAGAAACTGAATTCAGACGAGGATTCAGAGTCGAGACCGGAAATACGAATCGTCTTCTTTCTCTAATGATTTAATGAAACGTAAAAAGCTTTCGCGCTTCGAGCGGGAGAGAGGGGGGACTGAATACAAACGAGGATTAAGAGTCGAGAACAGTACAACGAATCGTATTGTTTCTCTAATGATTTAGTGAAACGTAAAAGCTTCCGCGATTCGCGCGGGAGGGGGGGGGGGAAACTAAATCCAGACGAGGATTAAGAGTCGAGAACTGTACAACGAATCGTCTTATTTCTCTAATGATTTAGTGAAACATAAAAGCTTCCGCGCTTCGCGCGGGAGGGGAAGAACTGAATTCAGACGAGGATTAAGAGTCGAGAACTGAACAACGAATCGTCTTCTTTCTCTAATGATTTAATGAAACGTAAAAGCTTCCGCGCTTCGCGCGGGATGGTAAAATTCGAATTGAGACGAGGATTTTTTTTTCGCGAACGGTTCAACGAATCGTCTTGTTTCTCTAATAATTTAATGAAACGTCAAAGCTTCCGCGTTTCGCGTAGGAGGGAGGGGGAAACTCGCCCCCCCCACCCTGCACCCACCCTCCCCCTGCATTACGTCACTGCTGGTCACCTTTACGTACGAATATTTGGCTCGCAAAATTTCAAATTTGGGCCCCCCCCCCCTAAGAAATCCTGGATCCGCGCCTGTGTCAGACTGACAAGGTCTAGAAATAGGTTTCGGAATTCTGTTACAAGTCATTTGTTGAACAAGTCATGAATGAAATATCAAGTGTACACAATTCATAATTCATATTTTACATTATTAGTTTGTATATTTTAAGACATTGTTGAGTACTGATTCTTGTTTTTTTTAAGGCATCGATTGTAAAAGTAAATTCATTAATTTTTGTTTTGTTACATTCTCTTAACTGATTTGTACCAATATACTTTGTTTAAGGGGTTAGGCTCGACTAGCACATGTGCTATTATCTGGCCCCTTTTTACCAACCAATAGTTTCTCTTTCTGTATATGTAATTATTGTATAAAATGTATGAAATGTATTGCTGTTGGTAAATAAATCAAATAAAAAAAAATCCAGTTACTTCTAGTATGATATATTTTATGCACGTGATGCAATACGAGCTGATTTGATCTTTGGTTGACTTCAAGAAAACCAACTTTAGAAAGTTCGCTGTAGCCAACATGAAACCTTGGACCAGAACAGTACTGTTGATGAATCTCACCATTTTGTTAAATCCATACAACTTTGATATCTGTACAAAAAATTCAGACGAGAATTTGCTTTTTTTTTACAACTGATTCTACTAAAGATGAAAATGAAATTGCGCTAGCCAACTCAATGCCTAATACTTCACATATTCTTTCCTCTTGATTAATTGATTATTGTGTGTCACTCTGAATTCAAATGACTTTTTAGAACTACTTTTAGAACAAAACAAAATGCTTTCGGTTTTTCCCAAGTGTAAAGAAAGCTTATTATCAGTCAATCGACACACGTAGACAGTCCGCCCCCCCCCCCACTCCGAGAACGGACGGACCCCATGCATGTTACCAAAATGTCCGGTAAAGGGGTACTTTTCGTGCGACAAAGTCCGGCCCGAGAATTGTAAAAAAAGGGGTGTATTAACTTTTCACCCGGAGATTTCTTTAAAAAGAGGGTGTTTTTCTTCTTTTCTCTCATCTCTTTGGACTCCTGAGAAATT